CACATGTCCAAGATCGAAAAGCCGCTTCTGGACCGCCGACCTATCCTATACTGTCGTTATAGACGACTGTTTCGTGGTTTGTTCAACCGCGAAGGAAATGGACGCATGTTTTGACCTGCTGAACAACCAAGCTGAGAACATCCACTTCACAAGAGAGAAGCCACAAGACGATTGGCTTCCTTTTCTCAACGTGCAGGTCCAGTTGATACGAGGGTTCTATCGGACCAAATGGTACCGAAAGCCCAGCAACAAAAACATCCTGGTCCATTTCCGGTCGGCGCATCCCCTTAAAACAAAACGGGCTATCAACAACAACATGTTCAGGACGGCTAATACAGTTTCTTCAGGCAGTCAGGAGAAAGCGGAGTCCTTGGAGCTCGCCCAGAACATTTCCCTTTCCAACGGGTACCCCCAAGGGCTAAATGCCTTTCTGGACCACCTAGTAGGAGGCAAGAGGGATTCGGAAGTCGAGCAGTCTGGGAAGGTGCCATTTTGTTTGCCTTTTGTGAGCGACGCGATCAGCTGCACCGTAAGAACGACCCTGCGTAGGTGTGGTCTCGACGGTCTAGTCCGTGTAGTCGAGATCCCCCTGCGAACCTTAGGAAACAGCTGATTCGCAACCGCGGGTACGATCAATACTGTATTACCCCGGATTGTGTCATTTGTCCTCATGGGCGATTGGGTGATTGCATGAGATCAGGCGTGATCTACCTGATATCATGTGCGCTATGTGGGGATGAGTACATTGGGGAAACCGGACGACCACTTTGTTCCAGGATCAGGGAACACTTGGATGGCTTGAAGAAGTCAAGACCGGAGACCCCCTGGGAGCTCACAGGCGGCAGTGCCATGGAGGTGCGGAGTTTGAGGTGATGAGGATTCTGATGCGAGAGCCCCAGAACCTCAGCACGCAAAACCTTGGAGGCCTTTTGGATATGCGCTAAAAGTCCAAAAGTGAACAACAAGACGAGTGCATCGCCATTACAAACGAGCTTGAACCACCGAACTGTGTGGGCTTCAATCGCCATCGGCTTCAGGTCGAGGGGCTGGGTCATCTGAAGCCACACACAGTTAGTCAGTTTAGCGGTGGTCCTCTACAAAAGCCTACCGTATGTTTAAGGTGAGTTACTTGTGTTTCGGATTTGCGATACCTTCCTAGATGCGCTGATCTACGAACTATTTCTAAGTTTGAAATGATTTATGAGGATTGAATCACTGATCTTCCAGGCTCTGACGAAGGCGACTAGCCGAAACGTTAGCCCAATAAAGTGATTTAACACCTTGGTTGTGGCTTCAAGAAATCATTGAAGACAAGGACACACACCATGCCAAGGTTCATGGACAGTCGAACATGGAGTATCATGTTTCCATTCTCTTCGCGAATGGAAACCTTCTGTGATTCCCTAAACAGGTGCTCACACCCGCGTATCTGAATCAAGCATAGTGAATTTCAAGCCTTTCCGGCACAGTGCGCCCCAAAAATCTTGACCAGTTCACCACTGACACTGTATTGTGAATGTTCCGTGTGTAGTTCATCAAACTTTATACCTTTTAGTTATGCCATTTACTTTGGATGCAGACTGCCGACATGAGAGGTCACGCAAAATTGCCTGGTCGTCCAATCTCTTTCAGGGAGATATCTCGCTGTCAACTTCTCAGCAACCGCTCAAAGGTGAGGAGGGAGTGTGTTCTGAGCCATTGGCGTTTAGCATCGCTGCTCAAGGCAGCGTTCAGGTTTAACAGCAACACATGTTTGCGCTTGAACGTGCGATGCTGCGTGTTAGAGCCCGCTTAAGCTTTAACACTCTAGAGTTACAAGCGCGCTTGGCCAGGGAACACCATTAGTTGGAGGATTTTGGTCAAGTCCGTACGACCCCCGCCTTTTTTGAAGGGCTGGTACGACCCCCCCCCCCAGTGGTTCCAGCTGTCGAGCGGAGGGGGAAGGGGTATATAGCACACATGGAACAGAAAAAAATCACGAAAAGTCAACAACCTCTTCCAGAAGGCTGGAAAGCAAATGCGACCCTCCCTCCCTCCCCCCTCCCAACAACGAGCAAGTACGACCCCCC